GCTTCATATCCACCACCGAAAACAAGCCGAGTCCTGCCGTGGCCTGCAGGGCCTGTGGGATGTGTCCTCCATCCGCCTTGCTGACCTCGTCCTGTGCCACCTGCTCCTCCCTGCGTGCCAGCTGCAGTGGCCACTGCTGCTCCTGACACAGGCCAGCCTCACGCCTACCTCAGAGCCGTGGCCAAGCGCTGGCCATTCCCTCTGCTCAGAATGCTCTTCCCGGGCCCTTGGCAGAGTGGGTGCCTCCCTTCCCTCGGGTCTCTGCCCTGACCTCACCCAGCCTGCAGTGCTCTCCGTCTGGCTCTGTCAGACCCCCCTGTTCTCCTTCATAGCTCCTCCCACTCTCTGGAACAGTCCCATCTCCTTTTGGCTTGTTTATTATCTGTACCCTCCGTGGGAGCCGTGGTTCCTCAGAGCACAGGCCTGGCCTGTCTTGTTCACGCCTGTTGCTGCAGTGCCATCAGTGGAGCCTGGCACTTGTGGATGCTGACTACTCGTTGGCTGAATGAATGAACCTCAGTTGCCTCATTTGTAAAATGGGAAGCATCACACTGATCTACTAACGTTGGGGTAAAGATGAAAGGCATGTTATTTGGGTCAAGGCACCCAGCACCGTGCCTGACACATAGTAGGTACTTAGGAATTGGTAAATAATGCATGTGTCAGCCCAAGTGCAAGTTACTGGCCTTGTTTAGACAAAGTGTACACGGCATAGCTCTGTTTTTTGGCATTGCCAGGACAACTGGGTGCTCCCCAGCTCTAAAACTCAGGGTGATAGGCAGGGCAGAATAAGGTAAGGGCAGAAAATAAGAAAAGAGGAGGAAGTGAAAAGGAAAAAGTGCTTTGCAGTGTGGACTGCTTTTCAGTAGAAACGTAGAAAGACATAGTTTACCTCAAGGCGTCGTTTTGCCCACTGGAAAGTTTATAAATTCCTGCCAAGAACTTTTATTTATTTATTTATTTATTTAGATGAAGTTTTGCTCTTGTCACCCAGGCTGGAGTGCAGTGGCACAATCTCGGCTCACTGCAGCCTCTGCCTCCCAGGTTCAAGCGATTCTCCTGCCTCAGCCTCCCGAGTAGCTGGGATTACAAGTGCACACCACTGCACCTGCTAATTTTTGTATTTTTAGCAGAGGCAGAGTTTCACCATGTTGGTCAGGCTGGTCTCAAACTCCTGACCTCAAATGATCCGCCCACTTCAGCCTCCCAAAGTGCTGGATTACAGGTGTGAGCCACCTTGCCTGGGCAACTGAGTGAGACTACATCTCAAAAAAAAAAAAAAGGATGGCACTAGGTAAGGGGGGAGATAAGGAAGTGCAGTAGAGGAAGATGTAAGTGGAGACTTCCTTACGGCATCGAGACCACACAAATGGGCACGTGTTTATAGAAAGGCTAGTGGTGAGGACGGCAATGGTGATGGGCACTCCTGAGCACAAAGGTAGATGCCCTTCGGCTGCAAAATCCCATTTCCTTGAAGAATTCTCCGCAGCAAGCTGGCTGGCCGGCCTTGACTTTTCTCTTCCTGAAGGGAGCCTGGTTCTCCACTGACTCAGCAGGGAACGTGTCCTTTAGTGGCACTTATTGATGTCAGGATGTGAAAAACTTCCCCAACCTCAAATTTGGGACGTCCTTACCAGTGTTTCTCAAATTTCAATCACTCTAAGGCCACTATCACAGTTTGTGCCGCACCTACATCTACTCATACTGTTATATGCTTTGTGTTTTATTTAAATGGACTCACTTTTTAAAAAGCTTGCATAGATGAGTTTTAAAAGGCAAACCCTTTACCTCATCTCTAAAAATGGAAGACCTGCCATGAGTCCAAGGCACCTGTGAAAGTCAAAGCAGTGAGATGAATGTTCTATCCTAGAGCTGTTGCTGGTAGACGGTTCCGTGCCTGAAGCCTAGCCTTCTATTTATTTATACACACATGTATACCTACATACAAAGTCTCCCTGTGTCACCCAGGCTGGAGTGCAGCGGTGCAGTCCCAGCTTACTGCAGCCTCAGCCTCCCCATTAGCAGGGACTCCAGGTAGCACACCACCACGCCTGGCTCATATTTGTGTTTTTAGTAGAGACAGGGTTTCGTCATATTAGCCAGGCTGGTGTCGAACTCCTGACCTCAAGTGATCCGCCTGCCTCTGCCTCCCAACGTGCTGGGATTATAGGCATGAGCCATCGTGCCTGGCCTAGTGTTCTTTTTATTAAAAAAGTGTGATTATTAAGTGTCAAAAGACCTGCTGGCACCAAATGAGATTTTTTTTCTAAACTCGATGATGAGAATTGAAAGAAAAGTGGAAAAATAATCACTGCTTCTGTGGGTGATTTGTGTTATTCGCTGCCCTCTCTGGTTTTCACCTAAAACCGTCTTAGGTATACCCACTGTGCAGCCTCCCAGATCCGCCCACCTCCTTCCGGAGGGCCAGGAGACACAGACTCCTTGGGCACGTCCAGTCGCACCTTCAGGCTGAGTGGCCAGGAGTCCTCCCGTGGCCCAGCCCACCTCTCTCTTCCAGGAATTCAAGTCAGCGTTTTTGTTGGTCCAGATCTGAAGCCACTTCTTCCACGCAGCTGCCCCTGATCTCTCTACTTCATAGCATTTTGGCTCTTTAAAAAAGAAAAGAAAAGAAAAAAACCAAACGTGTGACTTTCTTAGAGGTGTTAGAATTATCCTCCTAGTATGTTATTATTCTGACTTAATTCCGAGAGCAGGGCTTTGTCATATGGAGCTGGTACCCACTATGTCACAGCACTGCATGTGGCACAACAGACCAGGGCTTTTAATCGTTTTTGACATCTACTCTCTGAAGAATACATTTTATATCACAACCCAGTGTACAATGTATGAAAACTCAACATGGCCGGGCGCAGTGGCTCACGCCTGTAATCGCAGCACTTTGGGAGGCTGAGGCGGGTGGATCATTTGCAGTCAGGAGGTTGAGACTAGCCTGACCAACATGTTGAAACTTTGTCTCTACTAAAAATACAAAAAAAATTAGCTGGGCATGGTGGTGCATACCTACTCGGGAGGCTGAGGCAAGAGAATCGCTTGAACCTGGGAGGTGGAGGTTGTAGTGAGCCGAGATCACGCCACTGCACTCCAGCTTGGACCACAGAGGGAGACTCCAGTCTCAAAACGTAAACATCTCAACAGTGCTTCTCTTACTACATGCAATGACAATTAGTTTTTTGTTTTTGTTTTTTTTTGAGACGGTGTCTTGCTTTGTGACCCAGGCCAGAGTGCGATCGCATGATCTCAGCTCACTGCAACCTCCGCCTGCCTCCAGGGTTCAAATGATTCTCGTGCCTCAGCCTCCTGAGTAGCTGGGACTACAGGCACGCACCACGACACCTGGCTGATTTTTGTATTTTCAGTAGAGACAGAGTTTCACCAGGTTGGCCTGGCTGGGTCTCAAACTCCTGGCCTCAAGTGATCTGCCCGCCTCAGCCTCCCAAAGTGCTGGGATTACGGGCATGAGCCACCACGCCAGGCTGTCTTTTTTTTTTTTTTTAAATGCTGGTTGCAATCTACTACTTTGATTTCTTAACCCACTAGTTGTCCTCATCTGCGGTTGGTAAAAGCACTGCTGTAGGGGGTTAAAGCATGAACCATATTAACAGGTCCCCCCTGCTTTTTTTTTTTTTTGAGCACCTATTATATGCTAGGCACAGTGCTGAACACTGTCTCATTTTATCATGACCACGTTTTGCGTATCAGCCCACTGAGTCTCAGAGAGGGACATCACTTAAGCCCAGCTCACACAGCAAGTAAGAGCAAATTAAGATTCCAGCCTGGGTCAGCCTGGCTTACTTTCACGTCCTTGGAGCCTTGGAGCAGTTCCCTTGTGTATCTGCCGCAGAGCCTTGCTCAACGCTCTTCCCAGAGGAAGTGATCGAATGAAGGAATCAAATATCAAATTCTATAGAAATTCTTTTTTTTTGAGACAGAGTCTCAATCTGTCACCCAAGCTGGAGTGCAATGGCACGATCTTCGCTCACGGCAACCTCTGCTTCCTAGGTTCAAGCAATTCTCTTGCCTCAGCTTCCCAAGTAACTGGGATTACAGGCACCCACCACCACGCCTGGCTAATTTTTTGTATTTTAGTAGAGATGGGGTTTCACCATGTTGGCCAGGCTGGTCTCGAACTCTTTACCTCAGGTGATCCACCCGCCTCAGCCTCCCAAAGTGCTGGGATTACAGGCATGAGCCACTGCACCTGGTCTATAGAAAGAAATTCTAAAATAGTCTCTTTAATATTAACCTAAGCCAGTGCAAAGAATTCCCAAATGTGGCTGATGACTTGTTTTTTTTTCTTTCTAAATGTTTAAGGAATTTTTTAATTGAGGTATTGCAGATTGTAAAGTGTTCTTAAGTATACAGTTCAATGGCTTTTTACCTGATAGTCCCATGTGGCCACCCCCAGATCAAGGTGCACACCACTTTCAGTGCCCCAGAAAGCTCCTGCATGCCCCTTCCCAGCCAGCACCCCCGCTGCGGGGTGACCCGTCTCCTGACTTCCCTCCCCTTGCCTTAGTCTTACGTGTTCTTCAGGTCACATGCGTGGAGTCATACACTCTGATCAGTGTGTGTTGGACTTCTTTCATCCCATGTCCCATCTGTGGGATCCATTCTTGTGGTCGGATCAGTGCTTCATTCTTTTTTATTGTTACAGTACCTGATTGGGGTACTTTTGAACTTATTTTTTGTTTCATAGAATATTTTGGACATGTAGAATCACATAAAGAATAATATACACCCACCTCCCATCCTAAGAAGCAAACCTTAAGCTCCTATATTCCTCTTCTGCCTGCACTTTCCATTTTGACCCATCTCCATCCCATCCCAGGAGAAATACTCTTCTAAATGTGGTATTTATCCTTCCCATGCAAGTTGGGAAATTTGTACTACCTACGTACAATTTCTTAACAGATCCTTTATTTGAGTGAGTATACAGTTGCTTTTTCTTATTTTGTATTGCCGAATCCAATTAAATTTTAATGTAAATGTTCCAAGTGTTTCTGGGATTCAGAACCTCACCTCCATGCTCTAGAGGTCAAGAGAGTTGGAGCAAAGTCCAGAAGGAAAGGCCAGCTGGGGAGGCAGGAGGAGAGCGGAGTGGGGAAGAGAAGTGGAGAGAAGTGGGAGTGGGAGGGAGATGCTCACAGCCCTCAGACAGCAGCCATGACCTGGTGGGGGCCCCTGCCTCTGCCCTAGATTTTCTCTCATCTTGGACCTATGGGGAATGCACCGTGCCCCTCTTTGGGGCCTAATTTCCTGTGTCCACTGGTGCCACCTCTTTGCAGAGGCAGCCTTCAGAGGGATTTGTGGGGGAGAAGGAGCTTCTCCTTTGGAAAGAAAATGCTTGTGGTCCCCCATGTACCCTACACCCTGCAACTGTGTCACAGGAGAAGCACTCCCCCATGGGGGCCAGGCACTGTGCTAAGCCTTTTCCCTGTACTAACATGCGAACCCCCTCTGAGCACGCCAGTGAAGTGAGCACTGTTTGACAGCCTGAGAAACGGAAGCACGGGGCAGTGAAGGGAATTCCCCCAGGCCACAGCTAGCAAGTGGCAGAGCTGGGACTTGAACCCAGAAAGGGCAACTCCAGGCTCACCGCCCTGTACTCTCCAGCCTGTTGTCTAGTAGAGGCAAGGGAGGCCCAGGGGTCTCCCCCGATGCTTATCTCATTCTGTAACTCTGCATTCTCAATGGAGGTTTTCTTGACTCTAGCTCCAGGCAGGCAGAGACTGCCTTTGTTTGGCTCCCATTTTTATCATTAGCAGAGCAGGTGCTAGTGATAGTTGCTGAACGGGTGCTGGATGAATGCATGAACAAATGCATGAATGTGGAAATGAAAGGGGATGCAGATGGAGATGATGCAGATGGAGATGATGCAGATGGAGATGATGCAGATGGAGAGCAGTGGCCATGCAGAATCGTTGCAGACCTTGGCTTCAGGCTGTGGGGGATCCGCAAGCCAAGGGTTTGAATCCAGCTCCAGTGCTTGCCAGCAATGCCACCTTGGGTGACCTTTATCGTGCTACCTGGAAAGTGGGGTTGCTGGCAGCCCCTCCCTCCTGGCATCAGTGACACTGCATGATTAGGGTGTGATCCCTTTGGGTACAAGCGGGGGTGGTGGACCTCCCAGGTGGGCAGGTCCAGTTTGGATGAAAGGCCAAGGACAATTCACAGGCGAGCACAGGAGTCCTTGCTTAGCCCCAGCAATTCTACAGAACCTGCTGTGAACTGCTGGCTGCTGCCTGTAACTTTTCCCTGTCCCTATTTCCACTCCTTGGAGGCCGCAAGAACAACTGCTGGCTGGCCTTGGCCACTGCCTCAGTGTTCCAGCCTCTGCCGTCATTTGACACCAAGAAGACAGCCAGGCAGGCCTTGGCTCGCTGCAGAGGTTCTCCACCCCCAGTCCTCGCCGCCCCCCAGTCCTCTGGGTCCTGGCTGGGCTAGGCAGGAGGGCACTTACCTCTCCCTTCTCTCTCTACCGTAGCATGAACCAGCAGAGGGGCTCTCAACCCTGGTGCTGGGCAGCGGGTCTAGATTTCCCTCTCTGTCTGCAAGTATACCCACAATTTCCCTTCCCTGCTTTCTGGGCTCAGCAGGGCTATTCACAGGAAGCACGGAGGACCTCTCCCTCACAGTGAGCAACTGACCTTTTTTGAGCACCTAGTGAATGCCAAGGGTTCTTTCTACATTCCAATTCGTGATCTCATTCGTTTCTCAAAATCTCCCTAGGAGGGAGACGTAATGCCCCTCCCCATTTTACAGATGAGTAAACTGAGACTCCAAGAGGTTCAGCCCGTTGCCTAGCAGAGGCAGGATTTGAGCCGAAAGCTGGGTTGTCTGTACTCCCCTCCATGCTGCTCTGCAGAAAAGAGAAGCCCTGAGAAAGCTCAGGAATGTAGTGACAGTCGCAGTGCTAGCGATGATGTTAAGCACAGCTCACGTCCACCATGTGCTTGCTACGTGCTGGGAGCTGCCATTCATGCCTTACGTGCATTTCTGCGTTCTTACTTCTGTGAGGTAAGCAGTATTTTAACCCCATTTTACAGATGAAAAACACTGGCGGTTCAGAGAAGAATCTGTCTAAAGTCATGCAGCTAATGCGTGAGACAGTAGAGCCCCTGGCTCTGAAAATCCATGGGGATTGAAATGCCAAGCACACTGGTTCATCCAGACAATGGGATATTGTTCAGGATTGAAAGGTAATGAGCTAGAAAACTGTGAAAAGACATGAAGGAGCCTTAAATGCCTCTTACTGAATGAAAGAAGCCAATCTGAAGAGGTTCTATACTGTATGATTTTAACCCTGTGACGTTCTGGAAAAGGCAAAACTATGGAGACAGTAAAAGATCAATCAGTGGTTGCCAGGGGCTGGGGGGAGGGAGGGATGAATAGGCGGACCACAGAGGATTTTTAGGGCAGTGACACTGTGTGTGATACTGCGGTGATTGATACATGTCATTATACATTTGTCTAAACCCAAGGAATGTACAGCACCAAGAGTGACCCCTGATGTAAAGTATGGACTTTGAGAGACAATAATGAGTCAGTGTTCATTCATCAGTCATAACAAATGTCCCCTCGGGTACAGGATGTTGATAGTGAGGGAGGCTGTGCATGTGTGGGGACAGGCAGGATATGGAAAACGCTATCTTCTGCTCAATTTTTCTATAAACCTAAAACTGCTCTAAAAAAATCTTACGTTTTAAAAGAGGGACAAAAGTTAAACAGGTTCACGATGCACTTGGTGCCTGAGCCACCACAACCCCAGCAGTGATGTGCAGTGGGGTGTGGCTCTGCCTTGTGTGGGGGCTTCCCTGGCTGGCTTAGCTGTGGGCTCATCTTTTCCAGGCCTGCTGTCAGGTGTAGTTTGAAATCCAGTTCAGGAGTGCACCCTGCATGGGGAGCTAGAGGGAGGCAATGGTTGCTGTTGGGTGACTAGCAGAGGCTGAGGGGATGGCAGGCATGCCAGGGCCCTGACAGGGTATAGACAGATCTTCCCCCCTGGGGAGGAGGAAGGAGGAGGTGAGGGATGTGACAACTGCATTCTTTGGTCCCCATTCCCCAGGACAGTGTGTGCTCAGGGGAGGCTGGCCTCACCCCTGCCAGGGAATTGCAAAATTCAGCCTCAGTTGAATGAGTGTCCTTTGGAAAAGTACATTTTGCTCAGGAGCCAAGTAAAACTGAGGACTCCGCAGCCAGCACACTGAAGTCGCTGGCCATGACTCACACCGAGTGGGATGGGGAGGGCCGAGTTGGGAGGCAAGCCACTGCTCTCTGGTGGGTCCAGGCTCCCTCTGGCGCCAGACCCCTCGGCTGGGCTCAGGTCCCTCAGCTGGGATATTTTGTGTGCCAGAGGCAGACTTTGTCAGGGTTCAGACTCGCCTTGCTGTTTAGAAAAGATGTTGTCTCTAAGAAGTCATGGAGAAAATGAATCACTGTAAAAATCAAATTTTCTTATCCACTTTCATTATTGGTTTAGAGATGGCTTCTCTCCAAGATTAATTTTTGGTAGACTGCAGATCAAAATATTTAGGGGCATCTGGGGGTGTCGTGAGAAGAGCCCCAGATAGGACACTCGTTCTTCCTTGTGACATTAGGCAATTTGGTACAGCTTTCTGGATCAGTTTTTGCCTTTAAGGTGCATCTGGACTCATCAAACCCAGAAAGTATGGAGCAAATGTTCCTATTCCCATGTCCTTGGCAGACATTGCTAATCTATCTCCGGGCTCCAGCAGAGTCAGGTCTCAGCCTTAGTTAGCAGCCTGGCAACCACTAGACTTGATCCCTGAGATGAAACCTCTTGACCACACAGGAACTCCATGATCTCGAAGCTCCCTTCTGGCTCTATAACTTTTATGTTTCTCTCTCTTCTTGTTATATTTTTCATTCTACTGACTATTCTGACACAAAAATACTTCATGTTCAAGATTTAAGGCCAAGTTCACAAACTGATAATACTCAGGCCACGTCTGACCCACAGAAGTGTTTTCTTTGCTTTGCATATTATTTTATTTTTAAAATACTTGGCATCATTTTTTAATTGGTGATTTCACCTCATTCCCCAGATTTCTGGTTTCGCTTATCTGGCTGCCCTGGGACCCCTTGGTTCCAGCCATGTGCCAAGCTGGGAGGCTTTCTGTGGACTCCACAGTTTGCCACAGGCCACACCCAGCCCACTTCTCTACTTTCCAGTTCCTGCCTATTCTCAGTAGACATTTTCCCACGTGAAGTATACTTCTGTCCCACGTGTAAGGCCTGGCCGTCTCTCATTTGCTGATGTGAGCTGCTGGGTGACCAGTGCTTGGGTCTGTTAATTGACTTGGGGATGCTGACGTTTCCTGGAATCTCTTTCAGAGGGAAAGGTGTTTCCTCTCTATGAATGATAACTGCCTGATGAGTTAGTTTTACATTTTTATTTTCTCATGTGGGCTTTCCTTAAAGCAGGGGCTCAGTTATGCCATGAACTGTTGAAGAAAGCACAGGTTGAGGCAGATGTGGGAAATTTAGCAGGGGCAGCGGGGAACAGAGCCCTTCCCTCCCTCTTGCAGCCGCTCCCTTCCTCCCCACCTGCCTACCTGGATCTCCTCTGCGGAGCCTCGTTGCCGGTGGGTGGTGAGGAAGCCAAGTGGCTCCCTGAGGGTACTCGCCTGCACAGCTCAGGTGAGCTCTTGGCTCAGGAAAGACCCACAGTCTTCCCTGGCTCAGTGGGCCTTTTGCTGCTTAAAGATGACGCTCCCCACTTAAGCTCACAGTGCCAGCCCCTGGGGAACCCCAAGACGTGTAAGACAACCTCCTGCCCTTGAGGAATTCACAGCTTTGAGGGGAAGACACCAATAGTACTAACGGGGCAGTGTGGGCTGTACTGTTCATTTGTGAATGCAGTCCACGCATGCTCAGTGACATCAATCACAGCATGTGCCCAGTAATAACAGGGAGACCTCAGGGGCTGCAGAGGGCCCCCTGGGGGCACTTCATCCGGCCTGAGGCTGATTGGAGATGGCTTCTCAGAGAAACGGATGGTGAGCTGAGTTTCCAATTGCCTGAGGCCTCTGACCTCACTGGCCACTCCAGCCATATCCGCCTCCCTGCTGTTCCCTGCTGTTGCAGGAACCTGACGCTCCCTGCCTCAAGGCCTTTGCACTTGCTGTCCCTTCTGCCTGGAATGCTGTTCCCTGGCTATCCCTGTGGCTGTTGTCTCATTTAATTCTATCTCCATTTGCATGTTATGATCTCCTTGTCTGATGAGCCCCATCCGAAGGGCCCTGGCATTCCACTATTTCCTTAACCTGTTTTATTTTTCTTCATAACGCTTGTCAGCACTGACATATATGAGTTCCTTCACTGTTGGTCTCTCCCACTAGGAGATAATCTAGGTGAAGGCAGGGAGATTTGTGTCTGACCTCTGATGTGCTCCCAGCACCTAGATCAGTGCGTGGTCCACAGTAAGCACTCAGTGATGCAAAGTACTGTGAGCTGCTGGAGGAGAGGGGGTGATGCAGACAGATGGCACCGCGCTGGAATAGCAGTGGTCTTTGGGGAACAAAGAATGTTGGCGGGCAGTGGGGTGGGAAGGAGGGACAGATAGCAGCCAAAGACAGATCTGCTAAGACAGGCCCTGACTGTGTCTCTCTTTTTATGTATAACCTGCTTATTATAGAAAAACTGACAACACCGAGATACGCCCAAATGAAAGTGATCACCAACCAGCCTCTCAGCCAGGCCGACAAGGAGAACATGCTGACCCCTTTCCTAAGGCGCTTTTGCCTGGGATTGTGTGGAGAATCACATCTTTTCATTTGTGAGCCAGATCTTGCTTTCTAAAGCGCACAGCTGCCTGCCCCTTCAGGTCTCTTCACTGTGCTCCCAGCTCAGTGCAGTAGCCTTGTGTTCAGATGGACAAGGACATGTACTCCTGCTTGGCCATGAGATACAGTAACCTTGGGCCTCAGGGGGCCATGAAGCTTTGCGGGAACTTCCACCCTTTCTCCTCCAGCCTCGTCTCCATGTGTCTGCCTGTACTCAAGGCCTCAGTCTGAGTCACTGTCTCTACACAGTCTTTCCTGAACCTCAGTTTTCTTTTTCTATAAAAATGGGGATGAAGCCGGGGTTTATACCTGAATGGTTTTGAGGATCAGATTTGAGGATCACATGAGACAATATGAGTTACTACTTGGGTTCATGGGAGGTGCTCAGTAAATATTCTCCTTCCCCTCTTAAAATCTTAATCCTGCACTGTGCTTTTACCCCAGGCCTCCCCAGAACTTAGCCTTGACTTATTTTTCAAGGTCACTGAGAGTGTTGTCAAAAGGTGGTCCCAGGCCAGACTCAGTAGCTCACACCTCTAATCCCAGCACTTTGGGAGGCCGAGGCAGGTGAATCACTTGAGGCCAGGAGTTTGAGACCAGCCTGACCAACATGATGAAACCCTGCCTCTACTAAAAATTCAAAAATTAGCCGGGCATGGTGGCACATGCCTGTAATCCCAGCTACTTGGGAGGCTGAAGCAAGAGAATCGCTTGAGCCCGGGAGGGGGAGGTTGCAGTGAGCCGTGATCGTGCCACTGCACTCCAGCCTTGGCAACAAGAGCAAAACTGTATCTCAGAAAAAAAAAAAAGAGAGAGAGAGAGAGAAAAACGGTGGTCTCATAGCACAAAGCAAAGCTGAATCAATTGGGCAGGTGGAGGCCAAGGGACACTTGGGTTTTCCCGAAAGGGGCACCTTTCACAGGTATCTTGGCATGGCTCCTTCCCCTAAATACTCCCCTCCTAAACTTAAAAACACTGACACCAACAGTTTATGCTTTTTAAATCTCTGTGAAAGGCCGTGCCTGGCGGGGAGCCACGGGCATGAGAATCCAGTCCCCGGAATAGCTCCTGCCGCTCAGCGTTTAAATGCCATCTGTATTTTTATCCGATGATGGGTCACTTTTGAAAAACCCCGCTCATGCTCTGCCCCTCTAAGAATACATTTCCATTTATAGCATCTGCACACAGGATGTTGTTGTATCCCGGTGTGGG